CGGTGCAATACATTCGGTGCGATCTACTATGCGGTGCACTTCACCCTGCGGAAATTGAAACTGCCAACTCCACTTCTCGCGCAAGCATTCTGCCCGCCCATCCGGAACTTGGTTTGCAGAACCCGTGCGGCGGCGGTTGCGCTGAATGCTTGGCGCTGGCTGGCGCATTGCTGCGGCCGCGCTAGCGCGCGCAGGCGCGCGCGCACAGCGGCCAACTAGTCTGGCACGGCCGACGCGGCCGCGGTGGCGCTCACCGCTGGGCACTTCTCAGCGCGTCTCGCAGGCCGCGCTGACGCGCAGGCACTGGGGCACGAAACGGTGATTCGTGCGGGCGCGGTATCATGGCGACGTCGACAACGGCAGACCTGCTGATGATAGTAGCGACGGTGGTGACGATAATTGACATTCAAGTGCCAAGACCTTAGGACTATATCGTCCACGATATCGTGCAACAGGCGCTCTTCTTCGAAGAGCACGCCACCTGGGGCTGACCCCCCACCCTTTCCTCCTCCGCCACTTCCTCCTCGCCCTCGCCCTCCTCACCTTCTACCACCTCCTTTTCACCCTCGCCCTTATCACGTTCCCTCTTTGCGTACCGCCCTCCTCCTCTACCTCCACCTGTTCCTCCTCCTCCTCCTTGCTTATCGCCCCCCTCCTCTACCTCCACCTCTTCCTCCTCGCCCTCGCCCTCCTCGTCTTCGCTCCCTGCAAATCCCCTTCCTCCTCCTCCTCCTCTACCTCTTCCTCTTCTTCTTCAGACACATGTGCGTGTCTTGTTCCTCCTTGGGCCGGCTCCTGTTACGCCGATGACGATGATTGCGTCCACGCGTCGGCGATGAAGGTTTTGGAGAGAGATGTCGACGCGCGCGCGGCCGACGCGAGCGGATGTCCCGCATAGTATTTTGCAACCGGGGTCGTGTCCCCCCCCAGCACGCGCGCAAGGGCGTTCGAATGATTCTGACATGCACGCGCGAGAGGCCCTATTGATAACATGAAATACAAATGTTGGAAACCGGTGGTTTCCCCCAGAATTCGCAAGAGCACGCAGGTCTCCTTGAATAAACACATCGCTAAACTAGTCTGGGACACTTGATCTTGAAATCCATTGCGAAACCAGAGGTTTTTGTTTTAAGGAGTTCGACATGCGCGCGTGGCGACGCGCGCGTGTGGATATTGTTTAAGCTGTTGCAGAGGATTCATGGAAATTGACGACTTGTGCTGAACGAGTGCGCGCACATAGTATTATCTAACGAGGATGAGAGGGGGGGGAATTGGGGGTCCATACCGGCCTGGCGGGGATGGTACGAACTCATATTAAGAATATGCGATGGAGCAGAATCACATGACATTTGCACATTCCCAGGGTGTACCGATATCCCTGGGGGGGGAGATACGACTTCTGCTTTGGAAAGGAGAACCCATGTTGTGCAATCGAGGCGGCGACGGGGCGGTTACTGGGCGGCGACGGCGGCAACACAGCCGCCACACCGGCAGAGTGGCCCAGACGACGGGCGGCAATGTGGCGGCGACGGGGCGGCGACGGGGGCAACACAGCGGCCACACCGGCAGACTGGCCCAGACGACGGGCGGAAATGTGGCGGCGACGGGGCAGACAGGCCCAGACGACGGGCGGCGACGGGGCAGCGACGGGGCGGCGACGGCGGCGGCAGCGGCGACATGGCCTGCAGACGGGCAGGCAGGCCCAGGCGACGGGGAGCGACGAGGCAGCGACGGGGCGGCGACGGCGGCGACACAGCCGCCAGGCGGGCAGACGTGTCCAGTTCCGTAGAGCAGAAGTAAGAGCCTCGAAGTGCAGGCGACGTTTGGGGAGGATGGAAGAAGAGACGGAGGATGAGGACGAGGAGGAAGGAGAGAAGGAGGGGGAGGAGGAGGAGGAGGAAGGAGGAAATAGGAGGGAGGAGGAGGAGGGAGGAGGAGGAGGAGGATTGAGGAGGGAGGATGCGCAAACAGGCGGAGGATCAGGGAGGGAGGAGAAGCAGCGATACAGCATAAGGACGAGGAGGGGGAAGGAGGATGAAGGATGAGGAAGGAAGAGGATTAGAATGAGGGACTGAAGGGGAGCAGGATGAGGGGAGAGATGGGGAGGAGGAGGCTGTCGAGGAGGAGGAGACGAGAACGGAGGAACGTCCACAATCCGCTGAACTCAAAATTCTACGAACTCCTCCGAAGGTCCATCCAGGCCAGAGCTTCGAGCTGGGTCCTTGGCCGTGCGGACGAGAGCGTGCCGAGGCGACCCACAGCCTCCGAAACTGAGAAGAAGCCGGCAGCGGCGTCGACACCGAGCAGGAGGGGAGGAGCGGAGGAGGGCGCCTCCCCGAAGGAGCACGCTCGGGCAGGGCAGCTTCGGCTGCGCGCGGGCGGCCCGCTGCCGCCACACGGGCAGCCTGCGCGCCGTCAAGAGCGTCAAGCTGAAGGCCGTGAGCGACCCCCGAAGGTCAGTCAGGAGGGAAAAAAACACACAGACACAATTAATCGTCGATCCCCTGGAAAATATGCGAAGATATGGGCAGTGGGGGGAAGACAACAGCCCAGAAAATATGGAAGAATGTGGGGAATCTGTTTTATGTGTGTGTATCTATTTGTGTGTCCCAGGGCCCCTTTAGTCAGGGCGCCGCCAAGGTTCGCCCTCGAGGTCGTCGGCGTCGTCGCTGTGTCGCGAGGAGGAGGAGGAGGAGGAGGAGGAGGAGGAGGAGGAGGAGGAGGAGGAGGAGGAGGAGGAGGAGGAGGAGGAAGGGCAGGCAGAATAGGGGCGCCGAGCGTGCCCCGCCCGAGCTCTCGCTGCAGCGACGTCACTCGGCCGCCGGAGGAAGGGGTCGTCGCCGCCGCCGCCGCCGCTCGGGGAGGCTTGTGCACGTTTCCCACGTGCGGGCTCGCTCGCCTCCCCGCCCCGCCCGAGCTCTCGCTGCAGCGACGTCACTCGGCCGCCGGAGGAAGGGGTCGTCGCCGTCGCCGCCGCCGTCGCTCTGGGAGGCTTGTCCACATGTCCCACGTGCGGGGTTCCTGTGGTTAGTGCGGCCTCCGCCTCGCTCGCCTCCCACCCCCCCCCCACCCCCCAAGCGGCCCGAGCGTTCCTTCTTTCAGGGGCCCGGCTGTAGCTGGCTCCTCCAGAACTCGTCGTCAACTTCCCCCGTTGTCCCTCCTCCCGTCCTGTTCATCCCTCTTTCCCGAACGTGTATCCCCCTCGAGTTTGCCGGAACTCAAGTTTGCGAAACTGTTCGACAGGCCCGTCCTGGTCCACTTTCCGTGGGACACCTGCAGCGGGAGCTCGCGTCAAATCTCAGACTGGGTCTCGTCCTTTTCCTGACGGCCCCGTCTGGCCGAGTTGGGCCCTCCAAACTCGAGAGTCTTGCGACTCCCCGATCCTCTCCCTCCTTCCCGCCCTGTCCCTTTCCCCCCTTCCTCCTTCTCCCCTTCCGCCTTCTCCCCCTTTGCCATTTTTGTTCAAGCCATTTTTGGCTCAAGCCCCAGTGCAACGTCGTCCTGGATATTCTCAATAAGTCGTGATGTCCCTCGAAGCGTCGATCAAAAACTGTGGCCTGACAAAACAATGGAGCGCCGCATTGCGGTTGTTCCGCGAAGGGATTCAATTGGGTGCGCAACTCGTCCCAAGTCATTACGTTGCGGTTGTCCGCGCATGCAGAAAATGCGGGCAATGGCAACACGCGTTGTCAGTGCTCAGTGAGATGCGGGAGGCGAAGCTGGAGCCCAACGTCATCAGCTACAGCGCTGGGATCAACGCGTACGAGAAGGGCGAGCAGTGGCAGCCTGCGCTGGCGCTGCTGAGCGAGATGTGGGAGGCGAAGCTGGAAGGCGACAGCTCGGCATCCTGGTCGTGGAGCTCTGCGCCCACGGCCACGACTAGGACACTTGAGCTCCCAGAGCCGCCGGCCCGCCGGGCCGGCTCTCTGCCTCGAACCCCCTGTTTGGTTGTAGTTGTAGAATTCACCGCGGTGGTCAACGTATTTGCCGTTCGTTCGTCGGTTATGCTGATGCCTCAATGGATATGATCGATGTGTTACAAGATAGTTACACACCGGACAAATTTGAAGCTTCAGGCTGCAATGTAGGAAGTGTTGTATTCTTATGGTGCACATGTGTGTCACTAGACTGGCGCGGAATATTGTTCCACATGTGTTTGGGTATTGTTTTTCTGCATACCGCTTTGTTGGTACGACACCGAAGGTATAGAAGCTGCGCGCGGAAAAGTGGTGTACATAAAAGTACGTGGGGATAGATTCAAATCCGAGCCGTCTGCGCACATTAGCTAACATGCTAGTTAAATGCTGGCTTAAACTCGGGTTTAGGCCGCCGAGCTCAGGTCAGCTCACTTCCAGTTTGTTTACATTACGAGTTTCACCGAACAGCAGGGAGGAGGAGGAGAAGGGGACAATGGGAAGGTGTAGAAACCATAGTTGTTTGCTCCCTTCCTTGAAGGCCAGAACAGCAGGTTCTCAGAGCCTGGCTTGACATCTTCTGGCAATTTCGGTGTGTACGAAGGAGTCCCAGAATACAGCCAGTCACAGTGTATCTTTGCATTCAAGACGTACGCCTGGTGTTTTCGCACAGTCGGAAACAGGTGTCGTTCGTGACAGCGTCGGCCTGCCCCGTGTGGTTGGTTGTGGCAGGTCCTGAAGAGGATAGCCAACCACACGCCGAAACGCTGGAGACGGACTGGACCAGGGGTGCCCGAAAGAGTGAGCATACTCAGTCCTAGACCAGAAAGGGAACCAAAGGAAGTTGCGCAGTCAACTGCTTCTCGGCGACCCTGGCGAGGTTGTCCGTTGTCAGGCGAGCCTGAGGCGGGTGTACAAAGAATGCCTTGCACGTTGCACTCATATGTATATACTTGGTCAGTGACTACCATTCGCCCCAAGGTGTGCTCACCGCCTCCTCCTCCTCCTCCTCCTCCTCCTCCTCCTCCTCCTCCTCCTCCTCATCCTCCTCCTCCTCCTCCTCTCCTCGTCCTCCTCCTCCTCCTCCTCCTCCTCCTCCTCCTCCTCCTCCTCCTCCTCCTCCTCCTAAATCCCCTCGACCACCCCGCTCGTTCCATGACTATCGGATGCTTGCGGGGCCAGAGAGTCAGGGGATGAGTGGGGGGGTATCTGGCCTCGCTGTCGCTGACTGCCTGCATCTCGGGCTGGATGGGTGTCTCAGGAGGCAACCTGGCGCACACCGTGCCGTGGGGGTGCTCGGCCCTTGGAGGCCCGAGGGGTGCCCCCCCCCCGCCCGCGAGCGCCTACAGCAGATTGCGAACTGCCGAATTGATGTACATTCGCGAACGCTGCACAGCGCGCGGTGCCCATAACCTCGCGTAGTAGGTGTGCGAACGTTGGAGGTTGTAGCTGCACACGCGCCACACCGTGTTCAGAGCTATGTGCTTCAGACCGCACGCGCAAGGCTTCCTCCTCCTCCTTCTCCTCCTTCTCTCCGTGATGAGATCTGTCTCAGGTCTGTCCAGCTATCCCCCTTCCTCTCCCCCTGACATACAGCCACGAAGGCTGAAGCTGGAGATCAGCATTGCCCGGCGGCTGGACCACCCTAACGTCGTGCGCCTGTTCGAGATCTTCCGCGGCCGCGAGCACGTACACTTGGTCATGGAGCTCTGCACTGGGGGCGAGCTGTTCGACAGGAATCGTCGTCGCCCAGTTCGTCCGCACACCTCCCCGTTCGGAAAACGAAGGTCAGACAAGGGCGAGGCAACAGGGTGCAGAGGGGATCGATTTGCACACGTGCAGACTGGGCTGGATCTCAAAGCGCCAGGGCAACAGCCGACTCCAATCCTGGGGTGAATTCGAAGAGCACGACCTTCTCTACCAAATGAATATTGCCGCACTGGAGAGAGCGGCTTGCCGAGCGAGTCTTTAGTCGTTCTCTCTCTGTCTCTCTCTCTCTCTCTTTCTTTTTGTTTTTCTCTCTCTCTCTCTCTCTATCGCCCTCTGTCTCATTGTCTCTATATATATATATACAGATATACGATATAGATGCATCCCTCTTTCTATCTGTTTACTAGCCAGGAGGGCCGGACAAAAACGCCCCCCCCCTCTCCCCCCCAACAAAAAAATAACCCCCCGGGACTTGGGGTTCTGGGGCCCCCTGGGCGTCCTTCGAGGAGGTCCCCCAGCCTTGCCGCGTCTCCCAGGGCACATTGCTGGGCCTTGCCCAACAGACCCAAAGCGATCAGAGAAGTGGTTGAAGAGGCGCAGAAGAGCCCCAAGACAGCGCAAGACGGCCCCAAGAGGACCCACGAGGCCCCCAAGACGGCCCAAGAGGCCCCCAAGACGCCTCAAAAGGATTTCAGGAGGGACCCCCAAGAGAAACAAATCTTCCCATCCCCTGGACGTAATTACACTTTCAGCATGTTCGCTTTTTGTGTCGTGGCAGCCTTCACGACGGCCCAAGTGGCCTCCGAGATCACTCCAAGACGGCCCAAGAGGCCCCCAAGAGGGCTTCAAGACAGCCCAAGGGGGCCCCAAGACTGCCCCACGACGGCCCAAAAGAAGCTCACAAGGCCCCCAAAGGCTCCAAAGAGAGACCCACGAAGGTCCGTAGCCATTTTGGCTCAAGCCCCTGCGTTGGGCTCCGAGGCCGCGCGCTGCGGCGCGAGATTGGCACGCGAGCCGCCCGCTCCCGCCGGTGCCCCGCCTGCAGCACACGCGCTGGCCCCTGCCGCACGGCGATGGAGCTCAAGCTCGAAGCAGTGGAAGAAGGCCGCCTTCCCGCAGGTTGAGTCGTGGGCGCGCGAATCGGGAACGTGCTGAAGCAGGGAAAGTACGAGCCGAACATGAGCTGAAGCGTCCCTAAGCTGGACAGGCGGCGCAATGCCAATATCGATCTCTACAAGCACATCGGCTCCTGCATGGTCGGCGTGGACCCCGAGAACAGGTCCAGCAGCGAGGTGAGCGTCGCTAGCAACGACCCATCTTTCGCTGGCATCAAGCTGAGTTCCGCCTTGAGCAGTACATCATCGGAGGCGGAAAAGACCGGAAGAGGAAGGCGGACCGAGGACCCTGGAGCCCAAGGCGGAGGAGTACCTGCAGGAGCACAGCATCGGGGAGCGCCTCGCCCAGGCTGTCAAGGCGCTGCTGAAGGAGCAGCCTGCCGATCCCACCGCGTTCCTGAGCGCGCAGCTGCGCGGCCAGCACCCTGCACTGGCCGCCGCGGCGGCCGACGAACCGCCGCCGGCGCTGGTGGGGGAGCCCAGCCCTACCGACCTGCTGCGGCTGCAGGCGCGAGACGCGCTCGCGCTTGCCGGCCAGACGGACCCCTGCAGAAGGTGCCGGCAGACATGAGGTCGGACAAGGCTCGGGCAGGGCCGAGGCCGAGGCCGTCGGCGACGACGCGCTCCTCCAGGAGGCCGGCGACGTCCTCGCGAATGGCGGGCCTGGACGGCCGCCTCAGCCAGGTCCTCAACGGCATCCTGGCCGAGCAGGGCGTCGCCGCACCGCCCGCATCGATGGGCATGCAGCCGACGATGTTGTATGACTCATGTCGGCTTGGCCCGCACAGACGCCGTTGCAACGCGCAGTTGGTTTCGACCGTGCATGCGATCGCGAAGACTGGTGCGGGCGCAGAGGGAGCGGGGCCGGGCGTTGTGGAGTTCGGCAGTCCTTCACTGGCAGGCGCAGCGCTGTAATCTTGGATGCAGGGCGCTCCTTGCGCGCTGAGTCGCGATGGGCGAAGTGTCACGCGCAGCTTGGAGTGTACAGTCGGGGCGCTGAAGAAGGAACCCTTTTCGTTGGGAAGGGGCTCGGTGTTCCTTGATTGTTTAACAGTTTGTCTGAGGTGTTCCTGAGGTCTCCCATGGGACATCGAAGTTCAGCTCATGGGGAAGAGGGGCCTCGTTCCTTATCTAGGGTTCCTTAGGTCAACGCCTCGACTGTATCTCACGTTGTGTCTTGCTGCCTCTCCCAGCGACCTCCCCCCCTCCCGCCTGTCCCGCTGCCCCGCCGCCCACCCGCGCCCGTGGCGGAGCCGAGGTCCGCGCCCGGAGGGCGAGGCGCTCCCGCGGGGCTCTGCGGCCGACGAGGCGCGGCGGCCCGCCGCTGGCGCCAAAAGAAGAGAGACCCACGAGGGCCATGGGAGGTCTCCAGGAGGGCCCGAGATGGCCCCAAGGAGGCCCCAGCACGGCCCAAGAGGGACCCAAGAAGGCCCAAACGGGCTTCAAAAAGGACCCCCAGCACGGCCTCGAGAGGCGCCCAGGAGGCTTCCAGAGGTTCCCAGGGCCCTCGAGAGGCACTCGTGAGGCCCCCAAGAGGTTCTCCAACGAAGAGCCTCCGCCAAAAAAATTGCGGCAGACGGGGAATGGTCCACAACGCCAGGCGAGAGCGAGGATGAATGAGAGGAACGATGTGGAACGATAAGGCGTTGCTTTCCAATGCCTTGCATTGCGCGACCTGGCAACTTGGGCCACGAGCGAGTCCGCGTGGTGTCCACGTGAAGGACCCCGCACGTCATTCCTCCTCTGCATGGTCGTGCGTCGTCCAGGAGGCGTCTTCCGACGAAATACACCAAACTGACCCGAACCCCGGGGTTTGCAACAAAATTACCCAGAAATTCGTGGCGAACCCAGGCTGCGGTGCATTTCCCAAGCCAAGGCGGCATTGCTTGACATTCAACTGCTTGGCATTATGTGGCGTTGCTTGGCAGTGCGTTGCCTTGTTTGGCATTCGTGCGCGTGGCTTTCCATTGCCTCGCATCGCGCGCTTGGACAGCCTGGGCCACGAGCGGGCCAGTATGTGGGCCACACGACAGCTCAACGATTAGAGATTTTGGCCACGCGATTATGGCTACGCGATTTTGGCCACCCAGCTATGCGTGTCAAACGAAGAAGGCACGCGATTTTGGCCACGTCGTCGGGCCCGCCTCGAAATGCAAATCCAAACGCACCCCTGAACACAACAAAAACGGGTGGCGCATGAACGTGTACGTCGAGGGCGAGAGCAAACAAGGAACGGGTAAGGGTACCTGTACAGTGCCGTTTTTATACGTGCTCCGCGTGCGGATCATGTATTCAAAATGCAGGGTTTAACATTAAACACAACGATGAGCTCATGCAACAATTTATTCGTGAATTAACCATGTATTACAAATCCAATGCTTTTAAATATCCCATGTAATAAAAACTGCCCTGTATGGAAACGGCCACACCTCAGAGGCCAAAGAGGACGACGCCAAGTGCCAACAGATGCGAAGCTTGAAGGACCAAGGTACGTGGCGCGAAGAGCCAACGGGGTCTTGGAACTGCTGGCGAGATCACTGGGGTAGGGAGCTGATGGCTAGCGTTCTGCACCACTTGTTCTGGCCCCCCGCGCGTCGGCGCGACACGCTATCCACGTCCCTGACTCTAGGAGTTAACGTCTCGAGCTTTTCCTGGCCTCCCACCCCGCAGATCGGAGCGACACGCTGTCACGTCGCAAGACATAGCGTGTCGCCAGGGCGGCCGCCGCAACACGCTCGGCTCAGCAAAAATGCCCGGTCGTACTCAGCTTCCTTCCCCGGCAGGATTGTGAACGAAGGGGTCAACGGTTTCAACGAGGGGACCGCGGCGAGGTACGTACAGCAGATGTTGGCATCCGTTTGCTACCTGCACGCCCAAGACGTAGCTCATAGGGACGTGCTGAATTTAGTGTCTCTCGGCCACGCAATTGGTGACCACTGATCACAGTGATCGGGCGGTCGCGTGACCATGACCAATTTTATCGGCTCGTGATCGCTGTGATGGCCAGGGCGATCGGCAGCTTTCTTAGAGGTGCGATCTGATCGCGTCATCGGGTTGCGCGGCTGGCCCAGTGATTCGCGAGACACTAAGATAAAGCCTGAGAATTTCCTCTTTCAAAGCGACGCGCCCGACGCAAAGCTAAAGATCATCGATTTCGGGCTTGCGAAAGAGGTGGAGCCTGGAACATCCATGACGACTCGAGTTGGCACCCCTTACTATGTCGCACCGGAGGTGCTCAGAGGATCCTACACGCAAAAGTGCGACGTGTGGGGCGTCGGTGTAATACACACCGCTTCGCGGGAGACCAGGCCAGACAAGCGCTCCGTCTGTTGCTGGGCCGTCTTGGGGTTTCCTTGCAGTTGTTTCGTCGCTTTCTTGATGGCCTGTTGGACCATCCTGGAGCCCCCTATTCCGAGGCCGTCTGGCGCGAGCTTTCAGGGGAGGCACATGGGACGTCCTTGAGGCCCTCCTCTGGGATCATGTCGAGCCCCTGATTGTGCCCTTTGGGGGCGTCTTATGGCGATCTTGCGGGCAGTCTTGGCCGCTCTGAAGACCGAAAACGCGAATGCGCCAAAATCTTGCAAAAAACATGCAGACCAAGCATTGTCTGCCTCTTGGGTGTCGTCTTTGGCCGTCTCGAGAGCCTTGTGGGCCGTCCTGGAGCCGCGCTGGAGCCATCTGGGGTCCTCTTTGGCCTGTCTTGCATTCGCGAGAGAGGTTGGGGTGACAAGTCGAGGTACGAGTCCGCTGGGGCGTCGGCGGATGTGGTGCAACGCCTTGGGAGGCGGTTCGGGGGGCAGTAGCTCTGCATTGCACACGTCTTCGGCAGAGACCTGCGCACACGTCACGACTGGTGGTCTGGAATGCAAGCGGCCAAAACACCAGCTCCTGCTTGCTCTGCAGTGTGCATTCCTTTGGCAGGTGATCGCGTACGTGCCACAACTGTGGTCTGGAATGCAAGCGGCCAACACACCAGCTCCTGCTTGTTCTGCATTGTACATTTCTTTAACTCATAATTGTGCACGTGTCACAACTGCGGACTGGAATGCAAGCGGCCAAAAAACAGTTCCTGCTTCGCAGTCAGGCCGTGGATTCAGTTGGCTGGCTCTTGGGGGCTCGCTTCAGCTGGCTCGGTGCCCTCACGGGCCGTCTCGAGAGTCCAGGGTGTGCGTGGACCGCCTCGGGGTTCTGGGATGGGTTTGGAGGCGTGTGCGTGCCCTGCGCAGCAGGCACAACCATTAAGAGACCAGCCTTCCATCGGATACCCAGAAAAGTGTATTATCCTGTGGTAGCCCTTCAGAACCTACAGACGCCCTGGGAAGCCCCAGGAAGTGCAATCACCACTACAAATGGGCCCCTCGAGTTTCTCGTGGGTGCCTGCTGTAGGTGATGCAATGGAGCTCAGTGTGCCATGGTGGAGCGCCTCATAGATCATCTTGGAATTGTCTTGGGCCGTCCTTGCGGCCTAGCCCACTCCCCCCATCCAATCGCCCCAGATCAGCACACACGCAGAGGCGTTTTGAGGACAGAGGCGTTCACCATTCACCAGGCGGTGCCGAAGGCTTCGGCGGATTGCCTATCTCCTGCTCTGCGGCTACGCGCCTTTCCCGGGGGATTCCGACAACGAGATCTTGAGGTTGGTTAAGAAGGGCGTGTACACGTTCGACAGCCCAGCTTGGGACCCAGTTTCGGACATGGCCAGCCACAGCGTGACCAGGATGCTCACGGTGGAGCCCCAGCGGCGTGCGAGCGCTGCACAGGCCCTCGAGATCCCGTGGATCAAGGGCTGTGACACCACCGTGCGGCCGCATGCTGCCAACTTCTCCAGCGTGGTGGAGCGGCTCCAGGAGCCCCCCGCCCCCACTGCTCCCTCTGCGGCAAGGTTGGCCTGCAGGATGAGCCGTGGGAGTGCGAGAGCCGCGCATCCCTGGGCTCTGAGCATGCGTGTACCCCTGGTGTGGCGCATCCTGGACGCCATGCGTCATGTACCCAGCCCCTACGACAGATTTTGACTGTACTGCGCCTCCCCCGCCTCCGCGGTTGAGGCCGACCCGTGTGCAGCTTTGTGGTCACGCTTCATCCTTGTCCGCCCCCCCCCGAACAAAAGAACTGCGCCTCCCCCTCCTCCAGGAGTTCCGGGAGCACTCGCGGATGAAGCGCGTGGCGCTCACCGCCCTCGCCCAGCAGATCCCGGACAGCGAGAGCAGCCGCCTCGGGGAGATCTTCCGCGCCATGGACCGCAACGGCGACGGCGAGCTGTCCGTCGAGGACGGGGCGGAGAAGTGCGCTGCACAGGGCAGAAGCAAACGTTCGAGGCCGACTTCTGGGACCCGGGGTGGCCCCCCACCACTGATGCCGGGTCGCAGATTAATTCGCACCCTCTGGAGCAGCCTCCGGGGTGGCCCAGGTGAACGGGGGGGGCGGCGAGATCCTTGTGCTGCTCAGGGTTGACGTTCGCTCTGGCCTCTGGCAGGGAAGGAGGAGGGGCAACAGGAGGAGGAGGAGGAGGAGGAGGAGACAGGGGAGGAGGAGGAGGAGGGGCAAGAGGAGGAGGAGGAGGAGGAGGAGGAGGAGGAGGAGGAGGAGGAGGAGGAGGGGGAGGAGGACGAGGAGGACCCGGACAACCGAGGGCCCGGTTCATTCCAGTGCGTTTGGCCCAGGAGCCTTCGACCCCACGCCGCCTCCTGTGTGCAGTCCGCGCCGTGGGCTGGTTTCCTCGTGCTTGGCGGGAGGCCTCTGCCTTCGGCGGCGAAATCCGAACCCTACCCTTGCCGATCAACGACTCGGGCACTCGGGCAACTCGATGGGCGGCGGGGATAGAGTCCGAAATTCGTCGAACACGTGGCGAAGTCCGAACCCTACCCCGGCCTTCCATCGATTCAGGAGAATCGGTGGTTGGCGGGGGTAGCGTTCGGATGCCGCCACCTACGCCTCCCCCTCTGGCGGGGCAGCCTCACACTGGACGGCGAAGGGCCGCACCTGGCCGCAGGCAAATGAAAACACTACACAACAAAACCAAAAACAAAACAAAGACAATCACAACAAACAAACAAAATCATTATCCTGTCGAAGGGCGGGGCGGACGCATGTCGACGTCGCCACTGGGGCCTTCGGTGGAGGGCCCACGAAACGTTGTATTGAGTGTGGCGGACGCATGCGAACGTCGCCTCTGGGGCCTGCTGTGGAGCTCCCTGTGGGGCCACGAAGCGCTGTACTGGGTGGGGTGGACGCATGCGGACGTCGCGATTGGGGCTTTCGGTGGAGCTCCCTATGGGGCCACGAAACGCGTGAGTGGTGTGCCGGAATGGGCGGGGGGGGGGCGCTTGCAATCGCCGCCGCTGGGGCCTTCGTTGTGATCCTACGGGGCCACGAAGTGCTGTACTAGGTGGGGCGGACGCATGAGAACGTCGCCAATGGGGCCTGCGGTGGAGCTCCCTATGGGGCGACGAAGCGGTGTATTGGGCCGGGCAGACGCATGCGGACGTCGCGATTGGGGCCTGCTGTGGAGCCTCCTACGGGGCCACGAAGCGCTGTATTGGGCGGGGCGGACGCATGCGGACGCCGCCACTGGGGCCTTCGGTGGAGCACCCTACGGGGCAACAAAGCGTTGTATTAGTGTGGCGGACGCATGCGAACGTCGCCACTGGGGCTTGTTGTGGAGCCCCCATATGGGGCCACGAAACACTGTATTGGGCCGGGCAGACGCATGCGGACGTCGCGATTGGGGCCTGCTGTGGAGCCCCCTATGGGGCCACGAAGCGCTGTAGTAGGCGGGGCGGACGCATGCGAACGTCGCCAATGGGGCCTACGGTGGAGCTCCCTATGGGGCCACGAAGCGATTTTCTGAATGTGGCGGACGCATGCGGACGTCGCGATTGGTGCCTGCTGTGGAGCCCCCATATGGGGCCACGAGGCGTTGTAGTAGGCGGGGCGGACGCATGCGGACGTCGACACCGGGGCCTTCGGTGGAGTACCCTATGGGGCAACAAAGCGTGGTATTGAGTATGTCGGACGTATGCGAACGTCGCCACTGGGGCCTGCTGTAGAGCTCCCTATGGGGCCACGAAGTGCTGTACTGGGTGGGGCGGGCGCATGCGAACGTCGCGATTGGAGCCTTCGGTGGAGCTCCCTACAGGGCCAGAAAGCGTGTGAGGGGTGTGCCGAACCGGTTGACATGCGGAGAGCAGAGGCGCGCAGGGGAGGAGGGGGAGGAGGAGGAGGAGGAGAAGGAGGAGGAGGAGGTGGAGGAGGAGTAGGAGAAGGAGGGAGGAGGAGGAGCGGGAAGACGAGGAGGAGGAGGAGGAGCAGGAGGAGGAGAAGGAGGGAGGGAGGGTGGGAAGGAGGGAGGGGGGGAAGGAGACGCAGGGCGTTGTCCCCTCAAAACGAGGACCCAACACCAAAGGAAGATTGGGAAGATCCACAGCCCACACGCACACACACACACACACAACCACAATAACAATAAAAGCAACAGCCACAACAACAACAACAGCAAACAGCAACAACCAAACCAACAACAACAACAACAACAACAACAACAACAACAACAACAACAACAACAACAACAACAACAGCAACAACAACAACAACAACAGCAACAACAACCACAACAACAACAATAATTTAAAGACTGTTCGCCCTGGTATGCTCGAGTGTCCAACAAAGCGTATTTCCCAAACCCTCGATACCCGCCCTCTTCGTCTGCGATCGAACCCCTTTTGGGGGGTATACCTTTCTTCCCTGCAGGCCGGGCCCCGGCAAGCGGCGGGGCGGCCGCGGACCGTCGGCCTGGCCAGCTGCAGCGCTGATCAGCAGGGCGGCCGCGGACCGTCGACCCGACCCGAAGAGGGACAGACAGGGGACCGACCACGACGACGACGACGACGACGACGACGACGACGACGACGACGTCGAAGACGATGGCGACGGCGACGATGACGGCGACGACGAGCGAAAGCGAGAGCGAGAGAGAAGGACAGCAGGGCCACGAAGGGCACGAAGTAGGCCACGAAGGGCGACAGCGGGGACACGAAGGGAATGCGTGAGCGCGAACGATCGGGGGCCACGAAGTGCAGATAATGCGGGGCCAAAGACGGCAACTGTGGGGCCACTGAGGGTAGCAACTGGGCCACGTAGGACAGTGAGGGGGACACAAATGGCGACAGCGGGGATACGAGGGGCATGCACATGGGGCCACAATGGGCGCGACTCCTGGGTGCCTGGGTGTCGGGAGCGCGGCGCTTGGGCAAATTGCAGGAAATTCCAACGCAAGGCCGTTCTTCAGTAAGTTGCAAGCAAGTCTCCAGCGAAAGCGCGACTCCAGAGCGCCCGGAGAGCGATTCCTGAATAAATTGTAAGGAAGTCCCAAGCGAGAGCGCGATTCCTGAATAAAATGCGAGGAAGTCTCGGGCGGGAGCGGGGGTCCTGGCTCACTTGTAAGGAAGTCTCAGGCGGGAGCCGTTGTTGTTGTAACCCTGGGCCCAGGGGGCCAGTTTGACCAGGAAGACTTTCCCTGTCAAAAAATAGGGTGCGAGCGTCGAGGGGCACACTTCGATTGAGAAAAACAGTCTGCACCGGTGGGGGGGATCAACAATAATTATTCTTCAGAAATGAGAATTCAACACCTACGACGACGACGATGACGACGACGACGATGCCAGCAACAACAACAACAACAACAACAACAACAACAACATGAAGGTTAATAGAGTTCGCTAATATGGGCTCGCGCGCCATTCATTACGTATCTCCCAAGCCCTCGATGCCAGCCTTCTTCGCCTTCGATCATACCCCCTTGAGGGTAGATATGTCTTACCTGCAACGTGTATTCGTGGACCCCTGAAGGCAGGGGAAGAGAGGACGGATGGAAGGAAGGGACACGGGGCGGGAGCACCATAGTCCCCACGTGCACCACAGCGCCTGTGTACACCACGGCGCCCGTGTGAACCACAGCAGCCGTAATGCAACAGAGTACCAGTGTCGCATGCAGAGTGTTAGAAGGAATCCTCATGACAAAATGGAGCGCCTGTGGACTCCATAGACAACGCTTGCCTTGCACAGGGCTTGGAAAGCAAGCCTTATGGAGACCGAGAACCACATGGATGGATTCTATCGACCACTCTGCGGTGCACACTGGGATGCGCACGAGCGCTGCAGCGCCGACCCGCTCGACGGGTGGAAGAAGGAGGAGGAGGAGGTGGAGGTGGAGGTGGAGGTGGAGGAGGAGGAGGAGGAGGAGGAGGAGGGAGGAGGGAGGAGGAGGAGGAGGAGGAGGAGGAGGAGGAGGAGGGGAGGCGGAGGGGAGGAGGAGGAGGAGGAGAGGAGGGGAGGAGGAGGAAGGGGAGGAGGAGGAGGCGGGAGGAGGAGGAAGAGGAGGAGGAGGAGGAGGAGGGAGGAGGGAAGAACATCGCCTTTTATGGTCAGCACTCTTCTGGCATGGTGTTTAGCTGTGCGCAGCAGATCCTCACCGACATGCTCCTTCCACATACCCTGTGCACGCAGGGACTACGGTGTACACCAGCGCTGCGCTGCATGCGGGTACTGTGGTGTACATAGGCGTTGTGGTGTGCACAGGCGCTGCGGTGCACGCAAACATTGTGGTGTACACAGGCGCTGTGTTGCACATGGTTGCTGCGGCGTTCACATTCGCCGTGGTGTACGCAGGCGCTGTGACGCACGCAAGCGCTGTACACGGGCGCTGCGGTGCACACGGCTGTTGCGGTGTACGCACGCGCTGCGGTGTACACGCGCTTGTGGTGCCCGCGAGCACTGTGGTGTACACAGGTGCTGTGGTGCAGATCGCCACCTACGTGCTGCTCGTATCTGGCCTCGGCCATCCTTAGGCATTCGCCGGGCGCCGCTGGCGCAGCACGTGACGTCATCTGGGGGGCGGGGGCGGGGCCGATGACGGCCGCTGTCCCGCAGAATAAATGAACTGGCCCAGCATCATTGATGAGTCATGGGTTTGCAGTGGTCCTGCTCCTCCGTTTCCTCCTCCTCCTCCTCCTCTTCCTTCTCTCGGGCCGGCATCGGGCTCAGTCTGCCCATGTCTCGGCACGTCCAGCCAGGGCGTCGGCTCACAAGCACACGCCTCAGCGTCTCCAGTTGGCACGGAGCCGATCAGGAATCACTTAGCTGCCCCGATACGCCCGTGCTGAGACGCAGCGCGTACCGTGTTCAAAACTTCCGTGTCAACGAGGTGCGCGTTGGCTCGGCACGTGTTGGCCCCACGTGTTGGCGAGCGTGACGCGCCAGGCCTGCGTGCTCAGTCTGCGTGTTGTGCCCCGTGTCAACACGCTGCGGGCTGCGCGTTGCGTCTCGGGGCGGGTAAGCCGATGCTTATCGATTGCTGCGCAGGAAAAACTTGTCGGCCCCATGCTGAGCCCAGGGTCGGTGTGCAGGCCCCCTTGGCTACGCTAAGAGGGCGTAGAAGCCAATCCTGGGCCGAGGCTGGGCGTAGCCAAGGCCGGTGTCCATGTATGCACGGCGCCGTCCCATCGGATGCCCCCGAAGGCCCCAAGGAAACAGAAGCGTGCAACAAGCGCTCCGAACTCTTAGAAACACGTCATCGGTTCTAGAACTTCCGACGTGCTGATTTTAAGCAACGCGCGGGCCCCAGAAAGCTCGACCACTCCTTCCCCAGGGGGCGGTTTTCCTTCTCAGGCCCGCGCTTGAGACCCCCGGGGGCCCGACGGCGGCTCCCGGAGGACGCAAACCTGGGACGAGCGCTGGACCTGAAAACCCATTCCGCCAAAGGCCTGGGAGGGTCGAGCGCAGGCGTCGGCACCCTTTCAAACGACGCGAAGATCGGGACAAAATCGGATCGGGATAATTCGAAATCTCTGAGAATCGGCGGGTTTGGAGGATGTATTGGGCGCCGCGGCCGCTCCAGAGCGTTCCGGAACGCTCTGAGAGCGCTCCGGAACGCTCTGGAGCGATTTATCCCGATCCTAGCCCTGTTTTACCATTTCTCCCGAGGCCTGGGCCTATACTGCAATACCCGTCGGTCGTTGGAAGTCGGCGCTTTGGGTCTCCCACATCCCAATCTGCTTTGAACGCATTCCTACGTCCAGGGCCCTGCGGTTTGGCTTCCTCCCTCCTCTTCCGGGGGCGGGCGTACGCCCGCTCTGCTTTCAGCGCCTCCCTACATTGTATATTGACCTGCTTCTTCCGACCGACGGGTATCTGGGCCCGAACATATCCACGCCCACCGCCCCCCCCCCCCCGGAGTCCTGGGACATCGGCTCCCCAGGTGGTGGATCGTTGTAGCATTTCCGGCGCTTGCAGTTCTGGCGCCCCTGCCGCAGGAGGTTCGCAAAGGCTTGGCCGCCCACGGCATCCAGTCCCCCCTGGCGCTCGAGGAGATCTTGAGGGGCATCGACTGCAACGGTTCAGGCCGCATAGATTTCACAGAGTTCGTCGCAGCGATGATGGACAAGGACCCCCCCTTTGACCCTCCTCGCACCGCGAAGGCACCGTGCTTGGGCAATGTCTGGCTTTTGGGGGCCTTTCCAGGGCCCCGGGGCCGAAACCAAAAAGACAGTTCGGGGTGAAAGATTGGCCCTTCGAAAGAGGTCCAGGACCCGTCTCCTCCAGGACTCTTTTCCACCGTGCCAACAGGGCCCGCGCACGAAAAGCGCAGCCTTTTGCCTGGCCCCAGATATCTGGCGGCTCGAACAAATCAAGGCGAGGGTAGGTTTCTCAGTTCGGGTCTCTGGAAATTCGTCTCGGGTCACGGAAGCGTCGGACTAATTGATCGGGACGACCAGTTGACCTTAGGGAAGGTGTCGAGAGTTTTTTGGGGATCACATTTCAAAAACAGCGAGCCTCCAGATGCCTGGCACGAAGCGCGATCTGTGTCGGGTCTCCCTGCGCATCGCCTCCTCCTCCTTCTCCTCCTCCATTCACTTTCCTTATACATCATTTCTCCATGTCGCACCCCGAGGGCAGTTTTTAGGGCGGGCCGGGCGTTTCGCCTGAGACTTCCTCACCACTTCTGACCCTGAAGCTGAAAAATGACAGCAGCTTCACAGATGGAGGGCGGGTCGTTTTCAAAATGTGGCTCTTCGCATTCGCGCCGCGCGCATTCGTTTAACAAATTTGCAAGAGGTTCACGGAATGAGAGCGGGTCGTTTTCAAAATGTGGTTATCATTTTGGCGCCGCGCACGCTCGTTTAAAACGCTTGCAAGAGCTTAACGGATTGATGGCGGGTGGTTTTCAAAATGTGATTCTCGCTTTAGCGCCGCGCACATTCGTTTCAAACAGTTGCAAGAGCTTCACGGGTTGAGGGCGGGTGGTTTTCAAAACGTGGATCTCGACTTAGTGCCGCGCACATTCTTTTCAACAGTTGCAAGAGTTTCACGGGTTGAGGGCGAGTGGTTTTCAACATGTGGTTCTCGCCTTAGCGCCTCGCACATTCGTTGTAAAAAGTTGCAAGAGCTTCACGGGTTGAGGGCGGGTGGTTTCCAAAATGTGGTTCTTGCGTTCGTGCCGCGTGCATTCGTTGTAGAATTTACAAAAGTTCCACGAATTCCCATGACGGGCGTACCAGAAATGGTGTGTTGAGGGTGCAACAGATACGATGTGTCGCGGTGTTAAAGTCCCAGAACGGTGTTCTGGCACGATTCAGGGTCGTCAAGACGCAACAGTCAGATTGGTCCGTGGCGTTGGAGCCCCGAGAACAATGGTTTGGCATGCTTCGGGGTCTTCAAACAGTTGTCTTCAACGAGGCAGGTTCCTCTGTGGAAATGGGCCGTTGTACGGGCCTATGAAGAGGGAGCTTTGGGAGAGGGTTTATTCCGACATTGTTGGTGACTCTTGGACTTACACTGGTCTTTCTCCTCCGCCTCTTCCGCCCTCTCCTCCTCGTCATCATCATCATCCTCATCCTTCCCCAGGACCTGTACACGAAGCGCGAGTTGTGCTGGGCCGCTTTCTGCACATTCGACCTGGACGGAGACGGCCTCATCTCCACGGACGAGCTTGTCAAGGTTCTGAGCCGCGACAACAACGACGAGGAGAGCAGACAAGAGGAGAAGGAGGACCAGCAGCGGCAGGAGCATTAGGATTGTGAGGGGCAGGAGGAGGAGGAGGAGGAGGGTTTTCCGTCCTACCTCCTCGCTCGCCTCATTATCATCCCCCTCCTCCTCATCATCATCCTCATCATCATCATAGCCACTTTGGCTCAAACATTTGCTTGGCTCAGTGGCTACATCGGGACGTTTGCTCACGCCCCCCCCCCCCGTGGATCCGCCTCCTCTGCCATGATTGTGGTCGCTCGCCGCGAACGGCAGGCCGGCAGGATGAACGTTGGCACATGATTCTTCATCACGATGTCGTTCAACCCTGCCACGAACACGGAGAAGATCAAGTTCTTCCAAGGATTCGGCGACTACCTGTGCTCCACCGGTGCCTCGCGTATGTGCCCAAGCTGTTCTGAACATGGTCTAGTGCAGCCTCGGCCACTTCATTGTCACCCACAAACACCATCGATCTTCATTTTCAGGTCTATTGGTGGTCGCGTGCTGGATCAAGCCTGTGGCGAATCCCGCTTCTCAGCATGCGAATGCTACTCCTGCTTGTGAGACTCGCGATGATGGCCCACACGAACATCGTGCCTCTGATGCTCCTGTTGCAATTTTTGTCGATGGAGCTCGCGAAGATGCTTCCCAAGAACGCCGTGCCCCTGATACTCCTAATCGTGATGTTCATGCTGTGCGCTGGCGGTCGCGATCGCCATGGCAGCCAGAGCTATGCCACCTTCTTTCCCGTCAGCACCAAGACGATGCTAGGCATGATGCTAGCGCTTGCTCTTGTTCTGACTCCGAGCCGGAAGTGCCCCAGCTGCGGCGACGGCACGCTCGACGCGTCGTTCCAAGACTCGCCCCTCAGGGTGAAAATCGTTGTCGTTGCCCGCGGGGCCACGCGCTGGAGAAGCCGTACGTTGCCCGACCTCGTGCGATGCACGCCACACCCAGCTCCCTCGCAGCGCCCCAAGCTGGAGCTGTGAACGGTGCTAGTCTCCACGCGTGCCAGAGCGGCGCCTTCCACTGACGAGGCTGTACGCTGCCCGACCTCGTGCGATGCACGCCACACCCAGCTCCCTCGCAGCGCCCCAAGCTGGAGTTGTGAACGGTGCTAGTCTCCACGCGTGCCAGGGCGGCACGTTCCACTGACGAGGCTGTACGCTGCCCGACCTCGTGCGATGCACGCCACACCCACTGACGAGGCTGTACGCTGCCCGACCTCGTGCGATGCACGCCACACCCAGCTGCCTCGCAGCGCCCCCAGCTGGAGCTCTGAACGGTGCTAGTCTCCACGCGTGCCAGGGCGGCACCTTCCACTGACGAGGCTGTACGCTGTCCGACCTCGCGCGATGCACGCCACACCCAGCTCCCTCGCAGCGCCCCAAGCTGGAGCTTGAACGGTGCTAGTCTCCACGCGTGCCGCGTGCCAGGGCGGCACGTTCCACTGACGAGGCTGTACGCTGCCCGACCTCGTGCGATGCACGCCACACCCAGCTCCCTCGCAGCGCCCCAAGCTGGAGCTGTGAACGGTGCTAGTCTCCACGCGTGCCAGGGCGGCACCTTCCACTGACGGGGCTGTACGCTGCCCGACCTCGTGCGATGCACGCCACACCCAGCTCCCTCGCAGCGCCCCAAGCTGGAGCTGTGAACGGTGCTAAGCTGGAGCTGTGCTGGAGCTGTGAACGGTGCTAGGACGCGTGCCAGGGCGGCACCTTCCACTGACGAGGCTGTACGCTGCCCGACCTCGTGCGATGCACGCCACACCCAGCTCCCTCGCAGCGCCCCAAGCTGGAGCTGTGAACGGTGCTAGTCTCCACGCGTGCCAGGGCGGCACCTTCCACTGACGGGCTGTACGCTGCCCGACCTCGTGCGATGCACGCCACACCCAGCTCCCTCGCAGCGCCCCAAGCTGGAGCTGTGAACGGTGCTAGTCTCCACGCGTGCCAGGGCGGCACCTTCCACTGACGGGGCTGTACGCTGCCCGGCCTCGTGCGATGCACGCCACACCCAGCTCCCTCGCAGCGCCCCAAGCTGGAGCTGTGAACGGTGCTAGTCTCCACGCGTGCCGGGGCGGCACCTTCCACTGACGGGGCTGCACGCTGCCCGACCTCGCGCGATGCACGCCACACCCAGCTCCCTCGCAGCTAGCGCGTGCCGAGCACCTTCCACTGACGAGGCTGACGCTGCCCGACCTCGTGCGATGCACGCCACACCCAGCTCCCTGCTAGTCTCCACGCGTGCCAGAGCGGCACCTTCCACTGACGAGGCTGTACGCTGCCCGACCTCGTGCGATGCACGCCACACCCAGCTCCCTCGCAGCGCCCCAAGCTGGAGCTGTGAACGGTGCTAGTCTCCACGCGTGCCAGGGCGGCACCTTCCACTGACGGGGCTGTACGCTGCCCGACCTCGTGCGATGCACGCCACACCTAGCTCCCTCGCAGCGCCCCAAGCTGGAGCTGTGAACGGTGCTAGTCTCCACGCGTGCCAGGGCGGCACGTTCCACTGACGAGGCTGTACGCTGCCCGACCTCGTGCGATGCACGCCACACCCAGCTGCCTCGCAGCGCCCCCAGCTGGAGCTCTGAACGGTGCTAGTCTCCACGCGTGCCAAGGCGGCACCTTCCACTGACGAGGCTGTACGCTGTCCGGCTGTACGCTGTCCGACCTCGCGCGATGCACGCCACACCCAGCTCCCTCGCAGCGCCCCAAGCTGGAGCTGTGAACGGTGCTAGTCTC